TGACATCCTCTAGGAATTGGGGATTTCTTCATTCTTAAGGCTAATCAACTTCTTGGGTTCAATTGCTTCAATTGGATCTTTGATTTTGATTAAGAAGTGTGTTGTGGGCTTCCCCAACCTCCATACTTCCTATGATAAATCTTGGCATATCATGCTTCATGATTGCTATAACTAATTTGGGGTGAATGATAAGCTTCATGTTAAATCCTAATGATAGACACACAAATGTTCATTGTGTTGAATTGCCTTGGTTTACCAATTCTCACTAATATTTGAGCATCTCACTCTCTTGCTTAATTGCAAGTTTTTAGTTATTCAAGTCTTTTAGTTTTCAAACCATCATAACAACCCCCCCCCCCCTTTAGTTTAATTGTAGCTAGTAGTTTATTTACAATAGTTCTTTTAGATTGCATTGGTGATTGAAAATACAACCATTCCCTGAGGATTGATACCCCTTTACCATTATATTACGTTTTATTTGCAAACAAATGGTGTAATTTGCTTGGTGGACTTGACATCCCACCAATATATGTATTTTAAAAATACCTATATATCATATCTCTATATTTACAATATGTATGAAATGTTATTATATGATTAGTTTTACATGTATTTTTCTTATAATTTCTTATCTAACATTCATGTAACCTTGATCATTTATTCCATTATATATATCCTTTGATTATTTCAAAATAACGATGATCATTAAAAAACGAACATGCAGGGAATCATTAATTTACTACGTATTATATTTTCTCACATACACACAAAAACAAACGACATAATTTACAAAAAAATGATAATTATATTATAAAAGCAAAGCCAAAGACTACCAAAATTGTCTTCAAGAAAAAAATTACCACATGAGCAACCGACAAGCCATTTGTTAATTTTCACCCAGAGACGGAACTTGAACATTTAATTTGGAGGGACCGAAAGTATTAGAAACTAAAATTAACGTTCTTACATATAGTTTTTTTTTTCAGGAATTAAACACCAAAAATACATAAAATTATCGTTTTTACACAACTCAACAATGTCAACAAGATGGTGACATTACACTACAAGGGATATGACCATGATAACCAAATTAAACACTTGAACATGGACATTACATGAACATTAAGGAAACTAAAGTTTCTTTAGTGCTAGATGTTTCCCAAGTGGAGTGTGGCTTGGGTTAACACTAAAAATATCCTAGATGTGATTCCTAAAATGGAAAGTTGCAATCAAGATCATCAAAATAAGAACCTAGAATCGTTTCATGTTTAAAAAAAATGTGATTTTTATGTAGAGATTGAGGAAATATGAAAAGGGTTCTTGAAATTGTGATATATTTATAATAGAGGAGACAGAAACAGCCAGACAAGGAGACAAAGACATTGTACAGAATCAAATTTGACCTAAATTGCTAGAAAATTACCTTAATGACCTTCTCTTATCCTTAGTTGACCACCACTAATTTCATATAATAATCTCACAGTCTCACAGAGTAGGAATCGAGATGTATTTAATGACATTTTTTTGTATCATGAACTAAATCAGTGGGGCTGGGAACATCGAACAGTGAAACTGAAGAGAGAAATTGAACTTGATGACTAGCGTAGAGGTGAGAGAGGTGGAGTTTTCAACGAGTCAGTGGTGTCCGATGATTCCAAGGGCGGAGTTAGTAGGGGGGCTATCGGATGCAGCGCCCCCTCCAACCATTTTAATTGAAGTGCAAATGTACCCATCGAATTATATATTATATAACAACTAAGTCCATATAGGTAGTGAGAAAAGCCCATTGACCCCTTATGTTTTAATAAGCTTAAAATAATGTGATGTGCATGATCACTTATCACTCCACCCTAAATACTTATACCCAATTAAAAGAAAACAAAGATTAGTACTGATTCACAATTAAAAGAAAATGATGATAAAAGCTTTGTGTTACAGTGCTTCTTTCAAGTTTTTATTAAAAAGAAAATGTATATTTTAAATTCAATTGTATTCTTAACAGTTTTTGTAATATTTAATTATTATACTTTTATGATTGGTAATTTGGATTTTTATAATCATAAGGTAATCATAATAAAAAAAGCCATAAATTTAATGTCTTTTATAAAATTTTAGACTATATTTTTATTGGGATATAACACTATATTTTGATAGATTATTAGGACGTCCGACCATCAGCCCCCGTTATTCTTAGATCCCGGGTTCGCCCCTGGATGATTCAGCAAACAACGAAAACGAAGACGAAGCGTCAAGGCGTCAAGTGAATGAGCGAGGGATTTAAGACGTCAAGCGAATAAGCAGGGGGCCACAACCCGTTCCTTTTATTTTTGGATCTAATGTGTATTAAACCTATTGGATTAGTACCGGTTATAATAAAAAAAACATGGGGTTGGTCTTAAGCATCCTCCGCCACTGTTTCCATAGTTTGTAAAATTCTTGCCAATCGTTTTTTAGAAACACAATTGGATTAATTCATCGTCTTCTATTTGGAGTAGGTTACTATAAAGACGACTTGGAGGCTTCAAAGAACGTCTAGGGTTCAAGAGGGGTCGACGACATAAGATACGTTAAGACCATGTTTATTGGACCAAAACAGACGACTGGTTGGCTGTATAATACACTAGGTTACAACCTGTGAGAACCACAGGAAAAAGATTTATAAAATATTTATATTATTAAGGAATTGCAAAAAGTAAATTCAGTTTGATGAAAAACGAAATGTGATAGTGTCCCTAAGCAAAAGAGTCTTTTATTAAGATAGGGATGTATATTTACTAAATAGAGTTAAAATCAAAGATTGATTTATTCACATTAAGGTTGGAATTATTTTTTAATTCAAATAAATGATTGAATAAACTTCCATATATAGAGGAATTTATACCAAAAATATGTAGGCGTATTTACAATTAGAATAGATAGTATTTCTGTCACAATTCAATCCAAAATTAAACCCATTTATTACGGTAAAGGAAGGGAGGGCAAAAAAGTATTCAGTTTGATGAAAAACGAAATGTGGTAGTACCACCTCAGCAAAAATGTCTTTTATTAAGATAGGGTTATAGGAATCGTTAATAATTTAAAATAATAATAATAATAATAATAAAATAAATAATAAAATAAAAAACACATAAGGGTGTCTTGAGTCCACAATCCAAATTGGCCGGCCATCAAAGCGGCCAGCCATCAAAGATTGCAACCTTACTTCTCTAACTCCCACAAGCCACGTGTATATATTAATATATTTTTATTTTTATTATTTATATAGTTCTAATTTTTAATAAAAATGTAAGTATTATCTATAAATGGAAAAAAGAAATGATATTTTATAGGGCTAATACCATAAAAACCCTCCAGTTTTCAAGAAATGTTCGGTTATATCCTAAGTCCAATTTTATGTCCACAAAAACCGCACATTTGGGCAAAAAAAGTCATAATTTCCCTATTTTCCGATTTTACCCTTCTTTGGCATTCGGGGGTGTTTGGTTCAGTGGTTTGTTGTTCATCACCATAGAAGCTCAAAGATATGCCATTCATACTCAACGAAAATCCTATATTGAATCAATTCCCATGAAACAATCTCAGTTTGGTCTCAAGGAATCAATTCCATGAACAAGATCATCTATTTGTAAACCCAGACACCACCACCACCTGTGATATGCATCACCATCACCATCAAATATCAAAACACTGCTACCATCCCTGAAATCCACCACCGCCACCACATCTACATGACATCGTCCACCACCACCACCTCCCTTTCTTACCCATATCTAAACTCAGTGCCCAAATTGATGTCATGGGTGCTCAAACCTAAAATTAAACCCAACTATGATACCCAAAATTAAACTCGAAAACCACAGATGAAATCAAAATCGTGGTTAGCAACACAAATGCACAAACTTGAAATTAAACCCAAATGAAACCTAAACCAAAACTTACATTTTTTTTGCTCTGAGGTGAAGGAGATGATGGTGATGAATAATTAAGGGCAGCGGTGGGAAGTGGGTAAAATCGTAGGAGTTTGCATCTAATAAACAATCAGGGGCGACGACAAGAGCTGGGTTTCATGGCAGTGGAATTCAGGGGAAGAAATGTTACACCGTTCGATTCATTGGACTCGAGGTTCGATTCAGAGGGGAGCAACGATCTTCAGGGGATGCTCGTCGGTTTTCTCATCAATCGAATGAGGTATTAGAACGGTGGTGAGCAGGAGATGGCAGCCGGTGGGTTTCTGGCTCGTTTTCTCTCGGCAGGAAGCTCACCGGTGGAGTTGTTTTTGGTCTCCAACAGCAATAGAAATCGAGCAAGAGGGCAGGGGTGTTTGGGTGACAATTACTGAACAACAAACCACTGAACCAAACACCCCCTAATGCCATAGAATGGTAAAATCGGAAAATAGGGCAATTATGACAATTTTTGCCCAAAATTATGGTTTTTGTGGACATAAAATTGAACTTAGGATATAACCGAACATTTCTTGAAAACTTGAGGGTTTTTATGGCATTAGCCCTATTTTATATCTTAGGTTGGGTTGTTGATAAATGATAAAAATGCTAAAATTAATTGGTAGTATTGGTTGTGTAGGTGGAGAAGTGAAAAAATAATATTTTAATGAAAAATTAGATTGCAACCTTACTTCTCCAACTCCCACAAGCCACGTGTATATATTAATATATTTTTATTTTTATTATTTATATAGTTCTAATTTTTAATAAAAATGTAAGTATTATCTATAAATGGAAAAAAGAAATGATATTTTATATCTTAGGTTGGGTTGTTGAAAAATGATAAAAATGCTAAAATTAATTGGTAGTATTGGTTGAGTAGGTGGAGAAGTGAAAAAATAATATTTTAATGAAAAATTGGTTGTGATTTATCATTAATAAACATAGTCCAAACATAGTCTAAGAGAGAGGAAGAAAATGAGTTCTATTTAAAATTAAGTAACCTAATATTTAGGAAGAGAAATTCTCTATACAAAAAGTACCCCTAGTATAATACTCGAAAAATGGATAATGAATTAAAATTATATTCAAAATCTTAAAAATTCTTGATGCAATTTCGAATAAAATTCATATTCACATCACATGTTATATACGATTTGATCATAACTTGAGAAGGAAATTTCCAGGAAGTTTCCGCTTGCCTTAAAGAGAATGCAGACAAACTTTAAGAAGTTGGCATACATGCTCAAAACTTTCACGGGGCAAAAGTAAATTTGTCGGTAACTTCCTCTCGCATTGCTGTTAAATTCTAGTGTTTTGAAAACAAATGGTTTCAAGGCACAATGGTGGTTCATCGTCGATGCTTCCGCTTGTCGTTTGAAGAAGACGAAGGGTTCGAATACGAAACAAGAACTGAAACAAAATTGACTTCTTCTCATACCTTTTATTCTGCTTGTCTGATCATTATCTGTCCATACCCGATTTTCATGCGAAGACTTCAGGATTTGATAATTGATAGTGCTTGGGATATTGGAGTGGGTGGCTTTGGAAGCATTTACTGGGACGTGAAGGGCAAAAGATCGCAAGTAAGTTTTTGTCTCCTTCAACTAATTTCCTCTTTTATAAGGTGGAATTAGCACCAATGCCTTTCTATTTGTCCTTTTAGGTTCAAATTAATTTCTGTTAAAATGCAAAAGTATACGATGGAAGATCGATTTAGCACCCAATTGTTTCAGATTTGTAGTTGTTATCTATTGGATGTTTTCAATTGGGCTTACAAATTGGTTTTTTTGTAGGCATTATAACAATATCATTTTCCTCAAGGAGAATGCACTCATATATCAACCATGGTAAGATCCCTGAAACTTGCATATATGGACATTCATAATATTAGTTGAACTTCACTTTTCATCATAAAATTTCTAAATCTTTTCTGATATAATGTATAGGATCCAAGGTCATGGCTCATGGGTGAGACGTTGGATAGCGTTGGATTAGTCCGATGGTGAAAATTAAAGGACAAAACTGTTATCACAATTTATTTTTTTGAAGCTCGCCTATAATGAAGCTAATGCATATCATGATTGATATCATGTTTTCTCTCCTAACAGCCAATCAAATTGCGGTTTTCACTTTCATTTACTGCATTCTAGTTTTAGTTTTTTAGAGATTGATTTTTTACATGTTGTAGAGTGATAAGCGAAGGTACATCCTACTAGAACAGAGTTTTTTTTAGGTTTTTTTTTTTTTTTTTTTTTTTTTTTTTAGATCAAATGTATAGCAGATTAGGCGTTTTTGTTTGTAAATTTCTGTTAAGTTTTCAAGTGTATATCAAATCTGTAACCGCTGAAGACAAGTCTACACCAATAATCTCAGAAATAGGTTTATTACAGGATTTTAAAAGACGATGAAACATAGATTTCAACAGAAACATACAATCTCTTTTATAAAAAAGATCAGGAAGAACCAAAGCTTTAACAAATAAAGATGTAAATCAGAATCTTAATCAACCACCAAATAATTAATGAAAAACAACAAATAAGAACTTATTAATTACACCAAAGAGCGTCTAAGTTTATTACAAGATTCTAAAGGACGATGTAACCCTAACTCTCAAAATGAAGAAGATTTAAAAAATTGTATGCAAATAAAAGCACCAAGGAGAAGAAAAAGAAAAGAGATGATATGAATGAATAATAAGATATTTAAAAATGAAGATAAATCGTTATGTCAAACTTGATAACCGAGTAACTAATCCATTAACAAGTAAATTCGACTCAACTGCCTAATATGTAAAAATGTGTAACACAACACAAATAAAAGCTATAGCATAAAAGGAAAATGTATGCTGATTATTGTCAGGCTCAATGCAAACAGTGCTGGAAAAAAAACGGTGCTTTTAAAAACACTCATTAATTATACAACAGTTTTAGAAAGATTTGCTAAAATCAGAAAAAGCCCATGTATGCAAAAAAAGGTTTTGGAGCATATTAGTAATATCCACTTATCCGAGATTATATATTTTTAGTTTTTTACACAAGACAACCTTATTGCATAATGTATTTTTCTACTTGATAATATCGTGAATTAGACGTCTATGAATTTCAATCAACTTGTCTATTTTATATATGCTCATAAGACATGTAGAAAAATAACTTAATAACCATTATAAACATACGTGTATCAACGGTTTAGGATTTTTCATTCGAATTTCACATAAATAATAATAAAAGGTAATTAAAAGATAACTGTAAAACAAAAAATGTATATATTTTTTTTAGGAATTTTACATAATCAAAATTTCAAAAATCATGAGAACTCCCAAATTCAAAGTCCAAATTATTTCCTATCGGTCTTTTGAATTTTAGATCAAATTCTCGGATTCACATTACATGTCATTGAATCATAAAGTAATAAAGAAAATTTCAAAGCAATACCACTTGGTTTCCATGTAGAAAAAACTTATTAAGAAGTTTCCTTAGTCAAAAGTTTCATTGGGCCAGAGAAAATTGTGTCCATAACTTCCTCTCGCATTGCTGTTAAATTCAATTATTTTCAAGTCAATGCATCAATGGGTTGAAGGAAAAATGGTGTTTCATTGCCGATGTTTCTCCTTCTCTTTCCAAGAAGACGAAGAGATCGAATATGAAACCAGAACTCAAACAAAATCGACTTCCACTCACGACTATTATACTGCTTCTTCGGATTTGAATCGGACCATTTCCGATTTTCATGCGAAGCCATCAGGATTCCCAAACTTGACCAAGAAACCAAACAATTTGAGGGTTTTCACATTCGCTGAGCTCAAAGCAGCTACTAATAACTTTGATATTGCTTGGAATATAGGAGAGGGTGGATTTGGATGTGTATACAAGGGTGTGATTCAGAATTTGGAACATCCTTTTGATGAGATTCAGGTCGCTGTGAAGTATGCCAAAGGATTAATGAAGGCAAGTTTGTCTCCTTACCCTTTCCTCTTTCTGTTTCTATGTCTAGGTTGAGATCAATATTTGTTTGAGTTTCAGTTATTAATCTTGATTATGTTGCAACAGGGGCACAGAGAGTGGTTAACCGAGGTTAATGTTCTTGGGGTGGTTATGCATCCAAATCTTGTGAAACTAGTAGGTTACTGTGCGGAAGACACAGAAAAAGGAATGCAACTGTTTTTAGTATACGAATACATGCCTAATGGAAGCCTGAAGGATCATCTATCTACAAGATCACAAACACCTCTCTCATGGAGCATGAGACTGAAAGTGGCTCAAGATGCTGCTTGTGGCTTAGCGTATCTACATGAAGAAATGGATTCTGAGGTACTATAAGTATAATCCCTCGCCATACAAGAAAAATGAAGAAAAGTAGTTTACAAAGTACAAACGAACGTGCTTCCAAAACCAGTAACATTGGTTTTTTGTAGATTATTTTCAGGGATTTCAAATCCTCCAACATCCTTCTAGATGATCAATGGAATGCTAAGCTTTCCGATTTTGGTGTGGCTCGAATAGGTCCTCAAGAAGGACGCACTCATATCTCAACCATAGTAAGATTCATGAAACTTCCATTTACACATTCATAGTAGTTTTAGAAATTCACTTTTCATGATAAAATTTCTGTCATCAGTTTCAAGGAACCGTGTTATATGCGGCTCCAGAGTACATTGAATCAGGGTATTTGTCATCCAAAAGTGACGTATGGAGCTACGGGGTCTTTCTATATGAACTTATCACGGGTAGGCGTCCATTGGATAAGAATCTACCTCAAGGTGAACAGAAGCTTCTAGAATGGGTAGGACGCTACACAAACTCCAAAAGCCTCCACCATATCATTGATCCGAGACTTGAAGGTACATGCTCATTGAAGTCCGTACAGGCTTTGGTCAACATTGCGAATCTTTGCTTGCAAAAACACCCGAGATCAAGGCCAAAGATGAGTGAGGTTTTAGGATTGGTTAATGCATTGATTGGGGCTCTATCACAAACAACAAGTCCTGTGCGACCTCCTGTCCAGATGATTCAGGTTAATTGTAAGGAGGTTGTTACCATGGATGACAAGACTCAAGAGTACACGAGAGATGAAGGAGAGAGAGTTTCGATTGATATCCAACTTATAGAGACTTCTATCGTTCCTCCTATACCCCAATCGAAGCCAGTGAAATCTTTGATTACAAAGAAGTGGTGTTGTGTATCGTAGCAATTAGCAAAAGACAATGATCTTTGTATTACATTAAGATTGAGCTTGATTCAGCTCTAAACATTAGCAATTCATTATAATATACGTTAAACAACATTTCACCTTGTGCATCAATGGCATGATCGTGCCATGGCCAATGAGAACATTGCACGGTTTGGGCAACACTGATAACAGTCGTGCCAAGGGCTAATGGCCACTTTGCACAATCGTGTACCAACAAGTGCTTAGATAATTTCCCTTGTTGGTGATTCTCACTCCAACTCACCTTTCAATGCAATTCATAATCATGTACTTTGATTTTGGAGTTGCTAGTGGAAGTCTATATAGTTACGTTAATTATGAGTTGTGGTTAGGGATATTTTTTTCGTAATTACTAATTACAGCTAGGAGTTGAAGATATGTGGAGTGTGACTAAGAGTTGACTTTTGGAGTCAAAGTCAACATAATAAGATATTTAGGGTTATTGTCACATAATGGGATAGAAGGTTAACCGACATAATTATGGTCTAACTATTAAGAAAATGATAAGGGAGGTTTCACGGGTTAACTTTGGGGAAAAACTCAAAGTTTGTTGTTATTATTGGTTTTATGGAATTCTATCTGTGTAAAGGTTGAAATAGTAAAGAAATAGAATACAAAATGTATGAGATATTATTAGATTGAAAATGGTCCAACAAGGACATTAATCAAATTGGAAACATCCTGATAGTATAATGTTTCTTGTCTTTTAAAAAATGTCATACCAGTACATAACATAATATTGTTTTTTTAAAATTTTATAGCGACAATTATATTAATTGAAATAACAATGTCATATATATATATATATATATATATATATATATATATATATATATATATATATATATATATATATATATATATATATATATATATATATATATATATATATATAGAGAGAGAGAGAGAGAGAGCTAGGTTCAAATATTCTAACTAATTATTGTGTGAATGTAGGGATGAATGTGGACCAATCAAAATTTAAAATAAAAATAAATAATTAAATAAATAAATAAGGGTAAATAGGTAATTTGATAATTAGTTTCCATAAATAATATCATATAATTATGGTAACCATTGACTTCAGCTACCTAGATTTTCTCCATCCATCGTCGGCTTTTTAAATTTGATTTGGAGACCACATGAGAAATCGATCCCAACACCGTTACTGCCGAGGTTGAAGGGCACATCCGACAGCCCCCAACCATCGGAGCATCACTATCACATCTCCGAGAAACCCCAACGCACAATCGATTGACGCCATCAACTACTACAACCGGCAATGCTCTACCACCGCCACAACCTATCTCATACATCAATTTCTCCATTGCCGATACACCCGAGGATCTCGATCCAGAGAAAGAGAGAAGTCGTTCGTTGAAGACATGAGTAATTGGGAGCAGATGAGGAAAAAGGTCAGGATACGCTTGAAAATCCCCTTCTGGTCAACAATTCTACACAGTGAGGAGTCTGTCGGCAATGGCAGCAATCAGTGGAGGAAGTGTTTCCTCAAATTCAAACTCATCATCGTCTGCTTCCTCTCATCGGCAACGGTGGTCCCGGCTTCATCGTCACTCCGCTCCCGCCTTCCCTGTCCGTTTGCTATGCCGATTCTTCTATCACTCAAAATTCAGGTATATGCTTGTATCTGTGTGCGTGAATTGATTATTTCAGTCGATTCAATGTCAATGAGACTTTTTTAACATAAATTGTACCAGTCTTGATTTCTAGGGTTTTATTTGTGTAGAGGTTTAGGGGAGGGTTTAAGCCAGTGGCGACCTGTAAGTGTAACTGTAGTTGCAAATAGGTGTAGTGCAAAAGAGGCTGTGTCAATGGCCTTCTTTTCATGGAAATTGTGTTGTATGGAATGCAACCTGTTTATAGTCCATCGATTTTGGCTGAAATGATTAGACCTGATGGTTCATCCATAATATAAGTTTTAGGTGGTGAACCCTTACCTGCTAAGTTGGCTCATGAACTCATGGACATACAAGTATGTACCTTAAAACAAGTAGATATTGTTACCATTTAATCTTGTGTTAATTATGGGCATTTTTCGATATGCTTTCTCTAATTGACTCTATATCTTTTGACAAATCCTGCAAGGAACCCTGGTAGCTTGGTGTTCTCTTAACATCCATTTGTCCCCTGTTTCTTTCATATCCACAGAGCTCTAATTTAGGATCTGATAAAGAGATGAAAGATAAAATTCAAGAGGTTGGAGAAGAATACATGGCTTCTCCTGTTTTTGTGCACACAAAGTGAGTTATCTTTTTTCCCTTTCTTGAATTTCAATTCTATCCATTTGGAATCATTAATTCCAATTCTGTTGGAATGGAATATGAATATTTTCTCACTGATTTATGCATGTTCTACACTTCTTGGTTATTGGTTTTTGTGCAATTCATAAGTCCGTATATTTTTTCAAAGGAATTTAGTTTTTTATTTTTCATTTGCTAATGCATTATTGGATTCTAAACTACAATTGGATTTGTTTTCACAGAAGTTGATGCTTGAAGAACGGACCACAAAATTAAAAGTGATTCTTAGCAACACTATTCTTTTACAATGTATTAGTGTCTTTGTTAGATTTGGATTTTTTTCCCGATTTGAAAGTTTTTTTTAGTTTTATTCTTTAACAATAAATGTAATTCTTAGCAATTGTTACTCGTATTTTATAAGAATTAATATAATTTTTGTTTTTATTCTACAATTGATGGTTCAAGAATTTGTTGTTCTACAAGAAGTTTTTTAAAGTTATGATCAAGAAATAGGTTCAAGAATTTTTTATTATTATTTTATAGTTCAAGAATGTTTTTATTTTTAAATATACTCATAAACATATTCTGTCAGAATGACCGAATTAAAAGAATTATAATTCGTAAAATCGGATTTTTAAAATTAATAGAATTTATGATCCCTTAAAATATGCAATTTTCCTTTATTAAATCTATATTAATTGACTAAAATACCCTTTCAATTATATTTAATTCAATAATATGTATTAATCAATTTCTTAAAATAAGTAAAATGATTGGCCCACAATCATTTCTACATCCACACAATAATTAGTTAGAATAGAATAACCTAAGCATATATATATATATATATATATATATATATATATATATATATATATATATATATATATATATATATGACATCCCCTAGTTTTCGACAAAAAAAAAAACTTTTCTTTACGCTTTCAAACCATGTTATCTTTGTTTGAAAAAATCTCCAACATATATTAAAACTTTTTTAGTATAATTGTTGTTTCAAAATAACAACACTCTAAGGATGTCATAATCAATACATAACATAAGTTATAGCATAAAAACCTAATGGTCCTGAATACTATTGCGGGTTTTCTCTTATCACTCGACATCCTAATCAAGTTCCAACAACTCTATCTTGTTACTTGTGATGCATATAGTTTGAGTGGGTTAGGTTTGGAAAAACCTGGTGAGACACATAAGGTTTTTAATCACACAATGTTATTATGATAATAATTCATAATTAATAAATCTGTTAAACCAACTGCTATAAAAACACAATATAAATATATATAAGACAATATACTCTTTACCCGTAGTTACCCAACCCGTTGATTCTCACATATTGAACCTACAACAATGATCCCTTGAGATCTAGCCTGATGGATCAGTGTAAGCAACGAGTTGACTATTCTGCTTCGGGGATTCCTCGATAGTGGAAGTCAATAAGGTAACCATATGGGGGGGGGGGTAGAGTACTCGAACGAACACACAATCTTTTTCCTTGGATACGTATAGTTCATTAACACTTACATACTATAAGTCTGTTCGCGTTCCACAAGATGGTTTTCTGGGGTTGTCATCTTACTCCGACAGATGACCAAACATACCCTCTGATAGCCTGATGTAGACATACCATTTTTTGGTTGTTTAAAAAGAAAAGGAATATTGGTACAGTACTCCAGTATGTAACCCATACACTGACACGTAATAGTGCCATAGAACATAGTTCTACTCTCTGTTCCAATCTTACACACACCCTTTCCTAATATCTAACTTAATTGAACCAAGTATCCCCCCTTAAGTTTTCGTTTATAACAAGACAAGATCACGATACCTATAGTCAACTTTCAATACAAATTTCATACTTATGCAATATCGTTACATTACAAGGTATATCTGAACAATTATTCAACTTACTTTGAACTAAGCATCCTTTATATGTCTTATTTTATTACTAGACAAGATTATAATACAAGTAATCATCTTTCAAAACCATTTTCCTATTTATGCAATACTATCGCAATACATGGTAGGACTACACCTTTATCCAACTTACTTAGAACTAAACATCTTTATATGTCTCAATTTAACACTAGACAATACTATAATCCCTGTAATCAAATTTCAATACCAATCCCTCTATTTTGCAACACTATCTTAAACCGATGTATATATTTAATACGAAGTATCATGTATTTAGTATACATTAATCTTTTAAGTAATAACACTTCTATTAAGATTGTCATGTAATAATATCGTATATACACTTAACACATATAGAACCATATGTTGCTTGCATCGTGTATATTGTTATCAAATATACATTTAACACGTATTCCAAATAATAAGTACTTAATTCATATATAAGCTTTCAAATGATATATTTAATACTTCTAATAAATATTTGTATTAAAATCATGTTCATGAAAGGTACTATGCACTCACATATAACATATTTTTAACAAATAGTTATATTAAAATCATGCTCATAAAAGTGACCATGCACTCACCTGATTGAAGGTGGAAGATTTTTAGGAAAGTTAGCTCGTCGCCTAACTTTTGCTTTTCCCTTTTGAATGTCCTAAATATGAATATTACTAAGTCTTGGTATTCGTTCACATTTATAAGGTTGTATTAATCGTTTTTGGATTCTACAATAATCCCAAAGAATACATAGGTCTACCAAATAAGGAATAAACAAGTAAG